TTCTCTTCCATGAAATTGTGTATGCAAATTTAGAGGAAAGACTTTGTTCTTCTGTCCTCCGATCCAGTGTCTATGAATATGAATGACATCATCCTAAAAAAAGAGATAGGTTGACATCAGTTCAATACCAAACATTATCATACAACTTTAACCGTGAGACAAGGGATTGCACCTTCACATATGCAAAACAGTTTTGCCGCTCAGGGATTTCCCCGAGATAAAAGGAATGAGGTCGGCGCCATCCACCACATGAGATTTGTGCAACCTATTGACAGAATATCAGTACAGCTCGCATTAAGAAGGTGAATATAAGGAGTAAGGCAATGGTCGACCTTTGCTTCAGCTGTTAAATTCCACAGTATGAAATCTGTTGACGCAAATCCGGCTGCATAGTCATTGCTTGGATGGTCTTTGGAAAAGTGCACCCCTTGACAAACGGATTGAACTAAGTTCAACTCTTTCAATTGTTTCAAACCCACGAACTCTAAAGTCTGCCTCTCCCTGTCATATTCGAAATAGCATATGCAACCATCTGCTCCAGTCTAAACATGAAATTGCGGAAAAAACAAAGAAAGATCAACAAAATAAAGCCATTGTCAGCGTGACAAGAAAATGACAGCGGATTGCACAATATATTTTCCCTTCTAAACCAAAACACTACCAACAGCAAAAGATTGAAAAAGAAAAGCGGCAGTTAGATTATTACCGAGCATATTTCAGCTTTGTTGGAAGTTAATCGAGTAACTGAAAGACTGGAAACAGTTGAAATCCCATGGGCACCTTTGAAATATTTTAGCGAAGGTATCTTCAATTCTAAAGAAACAGAAACTCCATTCAGCATGTCCTTTGACAGAGGAAAGAGTGTGATATTGCCACGTAAATCTCCACACAGAATCACCTACAAACAACCATCTCTCAATGTAAATTACTAACTTAACAAGGCTTAACTCTGAAGAAACAAAACTCTTGGCTGGAAAATTTTTAGACTTCATATCTTAAGAAAAATTATGTCCTAGCTTTGGCTTATTCAATAATGATTGGTGTTCTTTGCTCTACATTTAGTTCACCATGGTGATAAAGTAATATGCATCAGTCCAGCGGTTGAAACTAGGGACTATAAAGAAAGTAATAGAACACATAAACATGGCAAAAACTGAGATATTACCTCATTTTCTACTGATGCAGCTACACACATTATTCGCTTTCCAAAACAAGAGGAGAATTCAGCCAAGAGGGAGACATCATAAGTTCCAGCAGTACTAGAAGCAGCAGATTCTAAAGGATCGGATAGTTTCCACAGCTTCAATAGTCCTCTAGGATTGCAAGAAAAAACAAACCTGGAAGCCAGAGACTATAAATTGAAATCTCAAAAATATTTCCGACCAAATGCTTCCACCCAATCGATACATTGTCTAAGCAAATTATTTAAACAAACCATAATTTAGGCCCAACATCTACTTACCTATAGCCTAATGATTTGCACCAGAAAGCCCCCAGAAGTTGTCTCTCTGGGCTAGCCTTCCAACTATGATTCATGCCCGCATGTGGGTTATTAATATCACCAATAACCCGAACAATTGTCATATTCCCTTTGCCATCTCCAAGAGCAACATAATCATCTAATGCACAAGACTCGCGTGCCTCTCCGCCATGCATGACATCCATGGTAATAATCGGTCCCCCTTCAGGTATACAAACTAATTCGGTCCACCTTACATTTCCAGATGACAATAACCTTGTGTGGTACAAGCAACCATGGTTTGTGGCCACATACATGGTATCTTGCTGCGTGAACTGCAAGCAACGTACATACTCACTCTTGCTGCAAGGGGATAACAATCATATATTCAATTATATACAACAATCCCCAGACACTTGTTTATAAAATATATATAGTAAAATTGGATCTAAATTAACAAAAAAAAAAATCGCATTTTTTATCATTACTTTGCCTTTTACTGCTATTCATGATTTCATGTTCAATATAACCAACTTAGTTATTCATTTGGAACACCGTACCAAAAATAAGATTTCTTAGACACTAAATTTTGTGAAGGGACATGTACTACCTACCTGTCCATGAGACCAGAACCGTCCACTGAATTTGGGAGGCAGGCTGAAAAGTATTCCACTTTATCTGGTGAATTAAGCTCTCCTACAGTATCTAACAATGTTTTAGACCCACAATTTTGCAATTGATGTACTTTGATTGCAGAATCAAATCCGGCAGTGACAAGAAGGGATGAATTCGGATCATACAAACATCTCCATATCCCTCTTCCACTGTATAATACAATAATTTTTCATCAGTAATAAAATAAAAGCATGATGAGGATAGTGATCACCGGAAACACCTTTCACCACTTACATATGTTCCTTTATCACTTCCACCTGGGTACCATCCACACCCCAGACACGGCATGTACAGTCCTCACCAGCAGTGACAATCAACTGATACAGAAACACATCCAATTTCAATAATTTAGAAGTTGAATTTTGAATGTGCACATCATTTGTATATAATCATAGGTAAGAACAGATTTCCACGTAAAAACACTTATGTTTTCTTACCTTAGAAACCCTGACATTCACGTTTTTTAAAAGATTTTCAGCTCTTAGCATAATATTCTAATTAACGCAGAATCTTTATAAAAATATATTGTATGATAAGTCAAAGGAATTCGAGGTACATACAGAATCTGAGATGCAGCAGTCCCAAACCCGAACACTGTGACCAAACAGCACAGGGCCAACGACGTCCTGCGAATCAATTTTCCATATCCTAGCACTATAAAAGGAATATGCCATTAGATAAAGAAATCAGGGAAAGGTGAGGTATTAATTGCTTAAACACAAAATTACTGTTCACCTACGATCATCAGAGACGGACACTAGTTTTGATCCATCCAAAGACCAGACAATGCGAAATATCGAACCCTCATGTCCAGTAAGTCTAAGCATATGGGAAGCACAATAATGCCCATGGTTGACACTGTCGCCATCAAGGCCAACTGTTTTCCAAACAATGATCTGCCAACAACCAGTCGATTCCAGTTACTAAAGCTATTTCAAGCACAAAAATGGATTTAAAGAAATGGCAGCAAGACTAAACAAAAAAAAACAAAAAAAAAAACCATTTAAGGTGAAATGTGGAGGGAAGAAAAGTTCGCCTACCTCATTAAAAATAGTGCCAGAAGCGATACGGAGAGTAGAAATATTGTTTCCCCATAGACGCATAGTATAGAGTAGACACCTTTCTGCAACCAAACCAATTACATCAGTATAAAATAGCTTGATAAACCAAAAGCTCTAACTCGAGTCTATAAAACCCTTAAACCCCAGTACAGCAAAACACCTGGTGACTGAATTACAAAAGCCATGCACGATTCTTTAACATTCCAAATGCAGAGAGAGTTATCACTACATCCAATAGCTAGAAGCTTATCTTCTTCTTCTTCTTCTTCCAATAAACCAGTAGAGTCCTATCACAATAACAAGACCTAACCCATGAGGTCTAATGAGCAATTATAAAATCGAGCAGACATCACAGAAACGTAGATTTGAACCTGTAAGAAACAAACGTCGAAGACCCAATTGCTAAGCCTCGGCAAAGAATCAAATATTTCCAAATTCACGGAGATTTCGCCAGTGTTTGAGGCAAATTCAACAATCAATGAAAAGATCTTCACTTTCTTCTCTCCGAATATAACAAGTTTATACGTGTGTCGCTCGGCCGAACGAACAAAGCTGCTGCTACAGACAGTTCCATGGACGCGAACCCCCTCAAACACTTGAAACGAGCGAATCAACTCACCAGAACTCAAATCGTAAAGCAGAATCTCCGAACCGGATCCTAATTGATGAATGAAACTCTAATTACATCAGAAACTCGAGAGAAATTTGAAACGAAAATCATTGTAATAGTTTATGAGAAACAAAAATTTCTCGAGTGAGCTCACCGGCGAGAAGATAAGGAATTGAAGAAACATGTTGAGGCAGATTGAGAAAAGCTAGTGAAGATACTTCTCCTAGATATGGACCGGCGTGAGGATTCCACTTGCGGCGGCTGTTATCTTCCGCCATGGCTCCGACTCCGACTTAGAGAGTTCAAAGTTTAGAGGCAACACAGAGCTTTGCAGTAGTAGTCAAACTTTCCAAGTGAGTCAACATGATTATAACATTGGGCTTAAAATAAGTAAAGCTCGATGGGCTAAAAACAAAAAGTTTTTAAAAAGGAAAAGTATAAGTAAAGCCCAATGGGCTCGAAGTAAAAGATTAAAAAATGGGAAAATTATGCGGTGAGCGTGGATCGAACACGCGACCTTCAGATCTTCAGACGCTCTCCCAACTGAGCTATCCCCGCATTGATGACTTATTGTTTGACACAAATTATCATATATTAAACTCGTTTTTCACATTAACTGGTTGTGCAATACTGATCTCATATGGTGTGAAAAAACTGTCTTCGGGCAACAACTGCCACCTGCCAGACTCTTTTCTTTTCTTCTCACACCAGTTTTGGATTGTAACAATTGATCATCATCTCTATCCATCTGTTGGATCAAAAACCACTCAGAATATCATCTCTATCCATCTATTCGATCATCATCTCCATCCATGGAACTATGTCTGAAGGTAATTTCCATGAGATAACACATAAATGTTGGCTAGAACCCATATTTTTGTCAAGTGACCGAACAAATGAAAAGAAAATGGTTAATGTCTTCCCCAACCATTGCCACAAGATCCACATTTTATGTCATTGACCTTCCCCTTGTAACCAACATCTCTTCCATTGGTAAAATCTCACTTAAGGCGTTCCAAAATAAAAGTTTTGATCCTGAGAACAGTATGCAAAGACAAAATTCGAGTCTTATCCGATTAGGAGAAACCAGCCTTTGATGCTTCCCTTTTTAATTACTTGATTGAGCAATCAGATTTGACTAAAGTGGTACCTAATACCTATTGTTATGCTTCCAAACCCAAAATTCTCCATAATGGAGTGGAAATAATTTATTTTTGAAAGTTTTATTGGTATAAAAAAGTGACATTACATAATAGTACTTTGACTGTCTTAATATAGATAAAGAAGACTCGTACATATTCAGATATCGCAAGAAATCCACAACGGCTCCTCAAACTGACCTTCAAGCTTATCACCATCTTGACCGTTCAAACTTAACCGACTCAGATCCAATTCATCTACAGTATGCCACGTAGGAGTCCCATCTTCATATCCATTCCACGTCAGCCTCCTCAACCCTGTCCCGTCCAATTTCACAACGTACAAATCTCCGTACGGCTGAAACTGATTCGGCATCGCCACCGGCTCCGCCGTTATTCCACAGAGATTCGCCGTGAATACTAACCAATCACCGTCCTTATTGAAACTCACGTGATTAACTCTCTCCCTCGCCGCTTCCTCCGACCCTTCCGGTCCAGCAATTTGAATCCTCCTCAAACCAGAACCGTCAGGTCTCACCACGTAAGCACCGAACGCACTGGTGTCCGCTGGGTTGTGCCGGTTAGATGAGAACCCGATGAGATCTCCTTTCGGAGACCAACAAGGCATAGTGTCGATCCATTCCCCCTCCGTTAACCGTCGTATTTCACCGCCGTCAGATTCTCCGTTAACGGCGTCTACAATGTAGAGATTCTTATGACCTGATCTACCAGATCGGAACACGATTGATTTGCCGTCCGGAGAGCAAGACGGGAAAGCGTTGTTCCCAGTGTTGTCTAGAGTGAGAATCTTCACATCACATGGGAGCTCTTCTTTATCGGCGGTGAGATCTGACGGATCGAACTTAATTCGTGCTATCTGAACAGCCATACTCGCCGGACTGAAGATTGGACCGAGAGATGTGTAGATTACATGACGCTCCGTTGGACTCCATGAATTGTAGAAAGCTGTACGGTCTTTGATCAACGTCCATCGTTTTGAGCCGTCGGATTTCGCGATTTTAATGCCACCGTTGATGTCGAAATCGGAGTTTAGTGCGATTAGATCACCGTTAGGTGATGATGATGGAAATGATCCGTTTATTCTGAGTAAGCTGAGGGTTTTGATTGGTGAAACGATGGATTCTATGTTCGGAACGATTAACTCGCCTTGAGTCGACTCGCCTCTGAACCGGTGGTAGCCGAGGAACTCGGAGTTGGCAGATACGAAGGGGTTGTAATGGTGGAAACTCGGATTGAGTGGCTCAGTCACTGGCTGAAACGTTTTGTGTTCAAGGTCGTAAATCTCGATGTGACGGTAAGTGACGCCGCGACGGCGAGTTGCGACGGCGATTCGTTTCCCGTCGTGGAAAGCTGCAGGAGTGAAACAATGGAGTCCAGATGGAGTGACTCGGATCGGTAAGATAGGGAAATCGGAATATTCCTGGAAATTTTCCGGTATATCGACCCGGAATATGCTCCACCAACCGTCGTCTGCTTGGTGGTGGAAGAAAACAGTAGAATCGCCAGACCAAGTCGGCCATCCGCCATGCTCGCAAATCACTAATCTCTTCTCCGGTTCAGATGCTTTGAAAACAACAATATCAGTGTTGATCTCGTGAAACTCACCTCCCCATGATCGAGATCCATAGGACGCGACGGCTAAGAAATCTCCCGATTGAGAAACCGCAGGGCTAAAATCGGCGACGTCTGGTGGAGTGACACGTGTAACCTCTCTCTTATCACCGTTGAGCTCCACGGCGTAAAGCGCAGACCAGTTCTTGAAATGACGATCAGGCTGCTCGTGAGCGGAGATGAAATAGAGCTTGTTGGATTGACTAACGATGATGGGACGGTCGTGGAAGTAGCTATCCGGAGCTCCGGGAAGCTGTTCGGGTTCAGGTTTTCCGGGTCGGGTTCTGTAAACCCGGGCGGACCCGGTTCGTTCAGAAACAAAGACGACATCATCGCCGGTGAATTGAGCGTTGAAGTTAACGGAAACGCCGTCTGTTAAACGGCGTTCAACGGAAGTGGCGATGTGGAGAGAGAAGACGTCGAAGCCGTAGTGAGTTCGACCAACGGTAGTGTAGATGATGGTGCCTTTAGGTGTTTCCATCGCCGGCTATTTGATTATTTTGGTGGTGTTATACGTAACTGGTAAGCGACTGGAGTATTTATACAAGGTTGTGGAAGTGCTTGACTATTTGACTGAGTGTGAAGTGTGAACGGAACAATACTGATCCGTACGTGCGTGTGTAATGACGTTGCAGTCTTCCTTCAAAGTTCTTTATCCTTGAGTGTTAATTCAGTTACGTGGATAATCGACGAAGAAGAGATTCATGTATATGTGATAGAACGTGACAAAATTGGTTTTGGATACTACACTGTGGACTTGGACTTGACTATAGACAAAGATTTGTAGAGATTTTAGAAAATTATGTATTGTAATTGCAAAATATCATTTTGTTATTCTACAGAAATATCAATTACCATTATATTTTATTTGATTCCACTAATCTAATCTTTTTTGTTCCATAGTGATACCAAATCTGAGACTCTCTGTGTACTATGTAGATTTGTATTTTGTAGTGTCTAGATAACGTAATCAAATGAAGTTGTGACTTACTTGTACGAGATTTTTCAAATATATAAATATCAAAATTGCGGTCATACATCATGTGTTTATCTCTTCTAGTCTTCACCTACCAAGTATTGAATTAAACAAACAACGACAATACAACATCAAGCAAAACAAGGAGTGGGTTATCCGGCGACCAGTAAAGTGTTTTCAGGCGAGATGCTTGCCGGAATATACTTCACTAGTTTTGAATCTAACCCGTGTTTCTTAACCCACTTCATCCTCCCCGCATCTATTATCTGTTTGCATTTAAAACCTAAAACAGCTCTTTCCATGGGTTTCATTTTTTTCACAACTTCCTCCATGCTGCTCAAAGAATCATCTCTCACTTCTCCTTCTCCTTCCTCCTTTGCACTACAGCATCAGAAGAACAATTAACGAAATGACTTAATCGAAGTAACTTCTTTATGATCTTTGAGTCCAAGAAATATTACTTTGAAACAAGAAGGTCAATGTCGTCAACACCAGGAAGATTGGAACCGTGATCATCATCTACAGCCCAGCTAGTGAACGAAGAAATGATATGGAACTCATCCTTGGAAATCCCCAAGCTAAGGATATATTCTTTGTCTGCGAGACACATGATCATATACTTGATTAATTGAGAAGCTCTATAATACTCTTGTAGATCAAAGACGAAGTAGTGACTCTGAGTTTACTTATGTAGCTTTTCCATTGGCACAGATGATGGCAACAAGTCGCAATAGCCAGACCTTTAAGTACGGGGCTTTCACCATCTTGTCTCGATAAACAACATCTTAGACTCAAATCTATTATCAACCCATAAAAACGAACATCAGTTAGCAAAAAACACTCATAATGAAGTGCCAATCTAAAAGAATAGGAGCAAAGAAAATAAGCATGTAGTGACCTGTTGCCGGACCACAGAGATGTTTCCCAACAGCCACATAAGGAACACCGTGCAAGGATTCAACCGCATTAAGGTTAAAATCCTCGACTGAAAACACAGAAGGTTTTATTTTTCAATCAATAATACATAACCCGGAACAAGTAAACAAGAAAACCTACTAGATTTAAGGGAACCTTACTATCGATTCTCATACGCTCTAATACTAAGTTCTCCTTTTGCCTCAATGACCGATCAGCCTAGAAGCAGTAAAACAAATGTGTTTTGAAAAATAAGCTAAATTACTGAAAGTAATGGAATGAACACAAACAAAGCAAACTTAACAAACCTTGAGCTTATAAGATTTCCTTTCGACTAGATACACTTTTTCGATCCCATAGCAATCTGCTAGCATCTGTGTTAAGTATCCTCTCCCGGCTCCAAATTCTACAACAGCCGACACATTCTTATGGTCTTTCTCTTCCACATTTTTGTTGCATTTCATCAATGCACCAATCTTTTCCAAGTTACCAAGAATCGAACCTTGCTGTAAAACGTGTTTCTCTTGAAATGGTATTTTTCTGCCAACAAATCAGAAACTATCAGTAAAACAGAAACTTCCCCTCTCACTAACCAAATCCCAAGAACAACGAGAGCTCCAAACTTTTCTAACCACTTACCTATCTACCTCCTTATTAAACCATATGTTACAAGCTTCAGGTGACAGATACGAATCTTCGATATCTTTACATATACCGCCATGAACATCCTCAATTTTCTTAATTAGCTGAAGAAACTTAGAAACACTCATACTATAGAGCAGATTCCTCTTCATCTCAGAAGTAACGAGAGAACAAGACCCCATCTTTTTTTCTTCTTCATCTTCTTCTTCGTTTCCGGCATTAATACCCTTCTGATAAAATCTCTGACCAGACAATGCTACGGTTTGTTTAAGTAAAGGACATCTCTTTACATGCCCTTCGAGATTCTCCTGCAACACAGAGCTACAAAACTCGAGTCAAACAGCTGCTACAACAGCAAGAGAGATAGCAAACTAAAACCTTTGAGAAGAATAAAGCTTTGACTCACTGAGAAGGATCAATAGGGCATGGAGTCCATTCTCCTTCCAATCTCTGGCTATGGTTCCCACAAAACCTGTTTTCAAAAATTAGCTCCTCCCTAATTTTGAAAAAAAAAGAAAGAAGGAAACTTTACAATTCCTCGTAAAATTAAACTCACAAAGAACTCTCGATTCGAGTATTCGCGCATGATCTCTTCTTCTTCGGAAGCCAGAAACTACATCGATTGCTACTTTTCGCCTCCATTCTCAGCGAGAGTTTTGCTCAGTGAAAGAAAGAGAGAGGGAGAGAAACAAAGGTCTTCAACGGGTCCTAAACAGGCTTCTTTATGACCCATTAACGGCCCATTAATTTTTAAAATTTTTAACCAACCTCTTAAACAATAAATAAATAAAGCCACGTGGCAACTCCAAAACAAGAAGCATGTTTCTCCTCCTTTCATATGTTTTTAACAGAGTCTTTGCATTTTCTTCCGCCGGAAAAAACAGAACTCACACAGAAAACACGAAGATGGCCGCGACGGCGATTCTCTCTCTAACAAACTCCAACGCCGTCTTCAACGGATTTTATAATCGTACATTTCTTTGCCGGAACGTCGTAGCAGCTAAACCCAGCTCGAGATATCTTCCTTCTTCTTCTTCTTCTTCTCCGATGAAGCCTTCGACTCTTTCTTCTAGATTCTCTCCTTCTTTAATTTTACCAAATAAATCCTTTAAATCTTCAGTATTTAAGAGATTTGATACTCTCATGGAGTGGCAAGAATGCAAGTAAGCGATTCTAATTCTTCTGCTCTCTGACTTGAGGAATTTGTAGTAATTGTAGATGTAACTTTGGCTATATATTACGAAACATACTTGCCTTTGTTTAGAACTATGATTCTTTCCTTGCAGATTTTACAAAATTGCACACTGATTTTGATTTATTTATTACCAGTGATTGGTTTGGAGATTTAAAGTTCAATACTTTTACTAGTGGTGGCTTGATTTGCTTATAGTGCTATCAATGATTGGCCTGGAGACTCAAAGTTCAATACTTTTACTAACGGGAGGCTTTAGTTAGTCAAATTTGATGATTTTTAGTGTTCATGTCAATTCTTCACAGTGCTGTTTTTTTTCCTTCTTCTTATATTCAAAGTATGAATTTTGTTTTCTTAAAAGATAACTTGAAGTCTATTTTATTAAGTGGGCTTTCTTGAGTCAAGAACGCTCTATAAGTGTTCTAAACCTTTCTCTGTGGAGAATTTCAGAGTAAAGATGAAGGTTGAAGTGCCTGTATCAGTTGCTTATGGACTCTATTCGCAGCGGGAATCAATTCCTCGTTGGATGACATTCATATCATCCGTAAAGGTGATTTGACTTTGTCTGTTTGTACATATATGATGACTGTTTCTGTTGGCTTTATGAAGTTCAGCATTGGGTTTGTTTTTGATGTTCCGCTTTTAGTTCTGCAGGTATTGAAGGACAAACCTGATTTATCTCGATGGACCTTGAAATATAAAGCATTTGGTCAGAATCTTGAGTACGCCTGGCTTGCTAAGAATTTGCAGGCAAGTATCATATACTGTTTAAAAATAACTCCTCTCAGTCTTGTGTTTTTTTAATAGTTTTTGTAATGAACAGCTTTTGTAAGTAGGTCTTCATATAAAGAACATGTTATACGGCTTTGATGCTCTATATTTGGATTTCACATTATTGCTTTCTGGATTCTGTTTAAATGCAGCCTCTCCCGAACCAGAAAATACACTGGATTTCTCTAGAAGGCCTACCTAACAGGTAACTGAACTGAAACGAGTCAATGATGCTGAATCTTCCTATCTTGAATCAACCTTGATGTGAAGGTCTTGCCTTTTTTTACAGGGGCACTGTCCGCTTTTTCCCGTTAGGACCTTCATCATGTGAAGTAGAAGTGAGATTTCATTGTTAGCAGCACTGGTTTTCGAGTTTCCAATGATTTCACCAATATTATCTTTCTTTTCTGAGTTCTTCTTTGCTTTGTTTGCAGCTAACCTTTGCATATGAAGTTCCACTGCTACTTATACCATTTGCAGCAGTAAGCTAACAGTTTTTTATTCAACCCGTAAAGTGTATATATTCAATGATTTAGTCTTAAGAGAGTGAATCAACACAAGTGAATGTCTCAAATCCTGTCTTCTGGTAACATTTACCTGCAATGTAACAATCCATCTTTGCTTTCTGCAGGCGCTTCAACCCCTAATGCAAGGATTGATCAAGAATAGTTTGGAGCAATTCGCAGAGATAGCAAAAAGTACAAAGACCACTTAGTTAAAACTACACAACGCAAAACTTATACACAACACACATCATACCCTTGTTCTTATACAGGAGTTTGCACAGAGAATCATTGGTGTGACAATTGCCAAATTATTTTTTTTTTAAATCTCATACAGAGAATTGTTTATTACATGTAATCACAACATTTTACTCTTTCGACTAAAACTCTGAGTTTATTTATGTTAGCCGGAAAATAAGTAATAAAGCAAATTTGTTAAATCATTCCAATATGAGCTAGATATGTTTCATCTTTATGTAAACAAAAAAGAAATGTAGCTAGATATGTTTCTAACTAATTCCAATATATATGAGGTTCTCTCATTCAGTAATGTGTCTCATTTTCATCCATTTCTTCATCAAAGATTTTGCTTCATCTTCACATAGATGGTGGTTATTTAATTTGGTCTCCATCCATATAATGATATTATCTATGAGACTATGAATGTCAATGCCTAAGTTTGATTTTTTTTTTTTTTTTTTGCCAATTCAGTTTTTATCATATATCAAAGCAATAATTATGAGGATACTAATAGAGTGATAGTATTATTTTTCTATTTTAAAAATCTATATATATAAAGTTAACTTTTTCTCTCTTCTCCTTAATCCACATCATCATCCACCTCATTTTATTATTTAATTTTTAAAATTAATTATACCCTTTTATCATTTAATTTTAATATTTAAACCTGTGTAAATAAGTTTTCCAAAAAGGAATATGAAAGATCTTTTTTTATATTATACATTATAAACTAAAAAGATAATTGATTAAAAGTTAAAAAACTTACTAATTATCGATTATACTAACAAATATATAAATAATAGATTATAGTTTTCAGTGAATATTTAAAATATATATATGATTATATTTACACAATGTAAACCTAAATATAATGGGATTTAACGGGAATAGAGCAAAAAGTAAGAAATTTTGAGAATATAAATCTATCTAATTTATGTCTCAAAATTTTTTCTAACATAAATGAGATAGGTCGGACCGAAACATGAATTCTCATTTTTTATAAACATATAAAAAGGTAAAATAAAAATAATATTTCTTTAAAAGTTTCCAATATGAATTTAATATTTTTTTCCAATACAACACATTTGTTAAACTAATAAACAAAATAAAAAATTAACTATATTTCATAAAATTGAAAATTAAAATAAAAAACATTGTTAAATGAAATAAACTAAATATAAACTAAATTATACTAATATGTTAAATTAAAAAATGGTTCCATATGAAAAAACAAAAAAAATATATAAAACATAAAATCAGAAAAATATATAATAGTATATAAATGATCATTACGAGATATAAAGTACGACAAATCCAAAAAAGGAAAACGTAAAACAAAAAATAATAAATTATGACAATATATAAAGAGATAATGTAAACAATTAAAAATATAACAATCCGCCCGAACCCCACAAATCATGTTCAAATTTCATGCCAACATATAGAAGGGCCTAAAATATTAACATCTAGATTTAAATAGCACACGTTTCTCAATGATTCTCAACCGCACTTCTATTTACGCTCACACTTCGACTTATACTATACACACTTAATTTCTCAACAACTAATTAAGCTAAAACTCAATAGTTTTTCTATACAAACACAATTTAAGTTTTAAAAAGTAAAGTATGGTATAGTGAAAAAAATAAGTAGAAAATAAAATACGAACTAATTATTCATAAACAACATAATAAACTTCCGCGCTTCCGCGCGTAGCGCGGGCAACCGACTAGTATTAATATATCTTTATGTAAAGTGTTGATATTAAAATTTGTGTATTTTACTAATTTTTATTCCACTAAACAGCAACTATTCATAGCACAAACTGTGAATCTAGCTGTAAAATTATTCCGAAAATTGAATAGGTGTTGAAATAAAACAATTCCATTATTTGCACATGAATTAGAAACTTCACAATCTTGTAATTAATGGAATATATATGAGCACATGAATTTAAGAAAGTCAACCTTTCTAGGCGCCAACGATGTTCTGATGTCTAAATTGGAGCATTATTCAATAGTATCATCAGTGATATGCATTTTAGTTTATTATGGTTAATGAAATTTTCCAACAAATAAGGGCTTTGTCATGAACATGAGATCACACATAATGCATTTTGAGCTGTCTTAGATATACAGGTAATTAAGGTTATTAGCATCAGATGTCGAAATAGTTAATAAGCTTTACAAAAATATATATTCAATTCTTGGCGTTATTTAATAAAAATCAAATGTCAACATACATATGTACAAGCAACCAAACATGTATACTTCAGCAATCATATACAAAAGCCAAGCGAAAAGAAAGAAGAATCATTCATTCTAGAAGAGCAAAAACAAACCAAACCCTAAACTCAAAATGTTAAAATTGTCGACTCTATCTATCATCACTACATTAATTCTCATCACATTATGTCTCTTCTCCTATGAAACTGAAGCAAGACTACATCATCACAAAGATAAAGACAATCTCAACCCAAAAGTGGAGCCACCGTGTCAGCCTCCTTCTCTCTCTCCAAACCCTAACGACCCGTCACAATCTCCATCTCCGTCCTACCACGAAGTAGTCTTCAACGTCAGGAACTATGGTGCGGTCGGTGACGGTGTCACAGACGACACTGACTCGTTCAAGAAAGCTTGGGATTCAGCTTGTAGCAACGATATCGACAACAATAACAACACCGTCTCCATCTTGCTTGTGCCTTACGGTTTCACTTTCATGATCCACTCCACAATTTTCACTGGTCCTTGTCGCTCTTACCAATACTTCCAAGTATTGAAATCTATTTTTAATACTACATGGATATCAGACTTTTGGATTATTGGTTCTAATTAAATAGTTGTAATTTTAATTTTGTTCTTTAATTTTTCTCATATTAATTAAGGTTGATGGGACCATCGTGCCACGGGATGGACCAAAGTCGTGGCCGAGCGGTTTCAACAAAAGACAATGGCTCGTCTTTTATAGAGTCAACGGAATAGCTCTAAAAGGTGTCGGAGTTATCGATGGTCGTGGACAAACTTGGTGGGATCTTCCCTGCAAACCTCATCGGGTAAATAACTATATAAACACTACTAAATTAAACATTTTCACTAGCATAATTTATTAGAAAATTATATCTATGAATCTGAACATGTTCAAGCAGAATGTCAACAAAACTGCACTTGCTGGTCCTTGCGAAAGCCCCGCCGTAAGTAAAATCAAATATTTGATAATATTATACGTTTTACTCAAATCTATTACATTAATATATAATGTTGAAATTAAAATGTACGTGTAATGATTTTTGGTGTGGTCAGGCTTTGAGGTTCTTCATGAGCTCGAATGTGATTGTGGAAAGTCTGAGTATAAAAAACAGCCCACAGGTTCACCTCAAATTCGACGGATGCAATGTAGTTCACATCAACACCCTTCGAATCATATCTCCGTCGTCTAGTCCCAACACTGACGGCATCCACATTGAGAACTCCAACTCCATTGAGATTTACAACTCCGTTATCTCCAATGGTATATATACATTCGATATCAACGTACATGCAAACAAAAAAGAAAACTTTTGTACATCTTTAGACACAATAGTTTTGAGAATATTAAATTGGAGTGTAAGCAAACTCAAGATTCATGAATTTTTCGTCAGGAGATGATTGTGTCTCAATAGGAACCGGATCATACGATATCGATATACGAAACCTCACTTGTGGACCTGGCGGGCATGGAATTAGGTAAACATTTCTCGTCACTTACTATTTTAGTTGTTAATATTTCATACTGTAGTAAACAATACAAATGTAAGGGGTATATATATATACTTTGTAGCATTGGAAGTTTGGGCGACAAAAACTCACGTGCGTGCGTCTCCAACGTTACGGTTAGAGACTCGGTGATAAAATTTTCCGACAATGGAGTACGGATCAAGACATGGCAAGGTGGATCCGGGTCAGTTTCGGGTGTAACGTTTGACAATATCCATATGGATGCTGTCCGAAATCCGATAATCATTGATCAATACTATTGCACGGCCAAAAGTTGTGCTAACAAGACATCCGCGGTTTTTGTGAATGATATAGCATATCAAAGTATAAAAGGCACGTACGATATTCGTAGTCCCCCTATGCATTTTGGATGTAGCAACAATGTCCCGTGCACAAACTTAACGCTTTCGGATATCGAATTGTTACCTTCAAATGGAGAGACCGATGTGGATCCGTTCTGTTGGAATGCGTATGGTATCACGGATGAGTTCTCTAAACCTTCAATCTCCTGTCTTAAATCGAATCCGTCGACGTCGTTGTTAGGTGGTCTTTCAGGGAAGTGTGGATCATCGTGATTTGGTTTATGAATGTCTACGAGATTGTTTTTTTTTTTTTTGTTAGTGGTATAGTATATGAAATAGAGGAGAATATTACAACTTTGGATGTTGTTTTACTCTTTGATTCTTGAGTGTGTCGAAACCGATCTAACTATATATTTTTTTCTTACGATAATGACACCAAAACAAAAAGAAAGTCTCAATGTTTTTCTTGGACAATTAGATATTGTAGACAAGTATTATTTAGACTCTATTGTTTAGACTTTAGAACACCATTTTCTATACGTGTGTTTACGTTTAGAATAGCATACAACCTGATACGATACCTTAGAATTGGATCAATATTTGTAGATGTAAAGTAAACGCATGGTCAATAATTAATTAAGTTCCACGGTCTTTTCTAAACCTTTAGAATAAAATGCAATTTCTGCATTCAGATTAAAGAACGGTGAATACGTCAAAGTATATTTGATTAGTACTTATTTATTGACTTAAGAGGTACGAAGAATCATTTTTACTTTCTTGTCCCCGATCACGTTTTGCACGATAAACAGATATTATGGATTAATGAATATTTTTATGGACTATACAATAAAGTAATATAATTGACAAGTGTGATTAACTTGTTTTAAAATCAATTTTAGTAATTAATTTACATTATATTTAGTTGGTTTTTATTTATTTTAATACCATAAAGTTACAATTAAAAAAGCATGTTAATGACACGTTCTCCTTAGAAGATCACTCATTGCCAGTGACTATAATCTCAATTACAAGAACGGGTAAAGAAATCTCAAAGCAAAGATGATGATTAAATTCTTTGATTTAGCGAAATTTATTACTAATGTGACTTCTTAGTTTAATTTGGAAATCTAAGTAAACTATATGATAGCAGAGTCATTGATCTTTCAAAACAACTATTTATGTTTTTGTAGAGTTTCATATGGTTTAAAATTAAATATAACAATGGTCAAATACGATTAAGTGTCTAATTTTACACTATTTTAAAGACATAGAAGTTATATTCATTTGTTGGATTATAAAGTCAATGAGAATTTTCAATTTTTCATATCGTATTCAAACTCAGTTAAAAACTTTAAATCCCATTCCAAAATATCAATAAAGTAGAAGTAACATACAAAATCACAAACAAAATATTTAGAGGTTAAAAGGGGTACTTTAGTCTTTTACTTATAATTTTATCACCTAATACATTATCTTCTCCCCCGCATTAAACATTTCTCCTCGAAACCCTAAATTCTCTAAAAAAAATAAAAAGAAAGACAAAACAAATATTTCTTCTTCTTCTTCCTCCTCCGTTGTTATGGCAATAATGAGCAAAGAAGAAAAAAAGACAGAGAACAAGAGGATCAACGAGATCGATGACTCACACGAAGACGAAGAGCTGGAGAACCAGAAGATGGAGATTTTCTTTAGTCTGATCAAGAACTATCAACAAGCCAAGAAACGAAGACGACAAGAGTTAACTCAAGATTCCGGCGACGTTTCTTTGATTCCGACCAAGGGATCCGAATCCGGCATTGTTCCTGTCTTCCGTCCCGAAGATTTCTCTCACTGTGTTGATTTAAACTTAAAACCATCGAATTCGATTACCCCTCCTACCAGTAATCAAGAAGAGGACAAGGGAGAAGATGAAGATAAAGATGAAGACAAAGAAGAAGAAGAAGCAGAGAAGGAGATAAGAGAAGATAGTGGTTTGGATCTTAATCAAGGTTTAGATAATGGTTTAGATCTTAATCTAGCATTGTAATAATACACTCTGTTTCTCCGTTTCTGTTTCGTGAATAGGAAACAAAAGCTTTCTTAATTTTCTTAATTATAAAAAGCGGTGTTGCAATAGATAGATACATAATCCAGTGGATCATCAAGTCAAGAAGCTGCAGGTGAAATTGCCATTGATGAATGTTAACTTCTCAGCTTTGACAACATAATCTAGAGGAAGAGGAACGAAGGTTTTGTCTGGACCATAGAAGTGAGGGAAGCTATTCACTTCATCCACAGCTTCATAGATCAATCCATTCCCAAGCTGCGAAACACGAGAAACCAAAAAAAAAAACATGTCAAGTCTCTTATGTTTCAGGCGATCCCAAAATCTAAGAAGCTATAGACTAATGTTCATTATCTTCTCAGCCCTAAAACGTATCCGCAATATCATCGAAGCATAAGTTTCGCTTCAGGATTCAAATGACTATTATAAGCAGAACTTGACATCAATTTGAATCCTAAGACTAATGTTCTGTTACTTTTAGATTGTGTTTGTCCTTAGTGCAGCTTGGTTTTAAGAAAAGAGTAGTGTCTCATTTTGTGTATCGTTTTCAAGCCCACAAAATCGCAATGACTCTAGCACCAACCACACATAATCAACATCACAAGATACATTAACACCATGACAGGGCAAGCTCAAGAAGTTTCTTGCTTCATCACATTCACACTTCTGTTATTTGCTCATCTACTTAAACGTGGTGCTAATCACAAAATAAACAAACGTTTACTAGATCAAACCACTCACCAAACCAGAGGATCCGTAATACCAAAAATTTATAGTCCACATATGTTTCAAATTAAAGATAAAAAGTAAACATCAATGGACAAACCTTCTTAGGATCGATTTGAAGAAGGTAAAGATCCTCTTTAATATTCATGAAAAAGTTCTTCAATGTCGATTGTACCTAAAAACCATAGAAGCAATTCTATCACAAAAGCAGCAAAACAAATCCACAAAAAGTATTGATTTTTCGCAAGGTTAAAGCAAATTGCTTAAGAACATAAGCTAAATTTCATCGTTTAGTAAACACCCAGATGGAAAAAGTCGAGATCTTTCTGAAAGAGAGAGACCTGATCGAGCTTGCTGAGATGAAAACAACCAGTTGATTTGTCGAGTTCTCCACCAAAGGATGATCCATTCTTCTTAAACTCTTCCCACTCTTGAGCCGTACTGATTCTGTATATGAAACCTTCTTCCTCAGCCATTTGTTTCTCACCTGAGAGATCGAAAAATCTCAACTTTGAAAGACGCTAATTCGATTAACACAAGGGATCCGATACGATCAGAGCCAATTCACTAAACCGTTAGAAACCGGGAAATGATTTATATACTAAACCGGTATTATAAGCTAAACCGACTCGTCGTCAACTTCGAAGTTACACTTTCCATTATACCTCCTTGGCTTTCGATGGTTGAGTTGAAATCAGTTGGTAAGGAGAAAACTCTCAAAGTTGTGTAAACTACAAAACAATCATGGCGGTGTCAATGGCGAAACCCATCTCAATAACTTCTCTCGGATTCTATTCTGATCGAAAGAACATTGCTTTCGCTGATTGCATTTCGATTTGTTCTGGATTCAGACATTCTCGACCATCTTGCCTCGATTTGGTCACAAAATCATCGAGTAACACTCGTGTTTTACCTGTCGTTAGAGCCGAAGGCTCTTCTGGTAAGCCAACAATGATGGGTCTCTCATCTTTCTTTGATCAATTGATGTCTATGTTGAGTGTGTTCATACCATTTTTTTCTTATCTTATTTTGTTAGACTATATTCCAGACTCAAAATTTTACAAAGTTGAAGCAATTGTCAGGTAAGATTTTTTAAAATTGTGTCCATTTGTTTTGTATACATATATTTCAAAGTATAAATTGATCAATCATTGGTATATAATATGTTTAAGGAAAGCTCATAATTGTGACAATGTTGCTTGTTTTCCTAAGTCGCGATCTAGTCCTCCTAACTGATTTCTTCATTTGTCATGTTTGAATGCTGGGATATTAAAGGCCATGGAGAATTCAGCATGTTTCCTCGGTAAGATCTTCCTTGTTCTCAGTATTGATATGTGAAAAGATTTGAAATTTGCTAATCACTTGAGGTTTTCATTATTAGTTGTTATCCTAGAAGAGTCTATATAGTCTTTGATATGTGAATTTTGCATCATACGGAAGTTTGGGAAATAAGTTAAGAGTATAAGTTCTTATGGATGCATGCAAAGATCAAATTATGTCAGTGAACTAGATAGGATTAGTCAAATCTTCATATCTCTAGTGCTTGAAATGTGAATTCGAATTCAAGGGTTTAGTGTTCGCACTGGTATCGTATTTACTTGTTATCCAACTAAATCTTGAGGATCTCTGTTTTATAAATGCATATGAAAAAAATCAAGGCTTTATTGAAAATCGGGATTAGAGGTGTTACTGTTTCTGATGTTCGAGGGTTCGGTGCACAAGGTGGTTCCACTGAGAGACATGGTGGTAAGATACTAAGACTTGAATTCAAGAATTTGGTTTGACGATTCTTCTTGTTGTCAAAATGTGTTCATCACTTTTCTATACACATTATTACATTTGCAGGCTCTGAGTTCTCGGAAGACAAGTTTGTTGCTAAAGTTAAAATGGAAATCGTTGTTAAGAAAGACCAAGTACGTATATGGTTTAAAAAGTTGAAACTTATTAAGTGAAATTCGAGTTTAAACATTACTTTTTTTTTTGTTGCAGGTGGAATCTGTAATCAGCACAATAATTGATGGAGCCAGGACAGGAGAGATTGGTGATGGAAAGATTTTCGGTAACCCTACTCTTTTCACAAACAGATTTATGTTTCATACCTCAAAATGCAAAATGAAATTACTTAGATTGTAATCGTCTCTTGTTGGCTATATACAGTTTTACCTGTGTCAGATGTCATAAGAGTTCGGACAGGTAAAAACTTCAAAAGCCTTATTCTTTTTACAAGAATGACACAAATCTTGGCTTGCCTTAAATTGTCTGTATATGTTGATAAAACAATTCAGGTGAGCGTGGGGAGAAAGCAGAGAAGATGACCGGTGATATGCTTACACCGTCGTAGGAGCAAACCGAGCTCAAGAGTGGTGTTATCAATGCGGTCTCTAGATCTAATTTCTGCGAAATAATAATGAATGGAGTCTTGTGTTTGGTTTTCTGTTGAATCGATCAAGATGTGTTTAACTGTACATGAATTATGCAGAAACATCTGTCCTGGTTCTCTGACATTGAAACTCTCTTCCTAATAAAAACTGAAGTTCCTGTTTTTATTTTGGTAATCTGAAACCACAATGCTTTGAAGACACCAATCGCCAAGACTTCTTGCAACAAGGGTCTACTTTATTACTATTACAAATGGTCCTGAAACAGACTAAAGTCTACAAAACTTTGAACATGTTCATGTAATGCACATTGACATAAGGCTATGGGAATCTTCTTAAATGTCTATCGCGATTAAGTGGTTATAGTCTGCTCTCCAAAACATGCCAATATTAGTACTTAGTAGTCCTTGAAGTGTCACAGGGATGCTTTTGATAGTCAACTCAGTATTACTCTTTCCGGTCACCTTGGAGAAAGCATGAAGTTGTTGATTCCATCCACTATTGGATCTGTCTTAATTACAGGCATGTTGATCTGTTCTCCAGGAAGAAGAAGTTGCAGCTCTTTGAAAGAAAATATTGTATCTTGTCGGATACCCTTATCGAAGTGACATTGTAGATTGGACCTCCAGTTGATCTGTCTTATTAACCCTTCACTTCCTTCCAATCCAAGCCATATGGCAAACACCACAGTAATTGTTTGAGAATAAAAGCCGAATAAGAATTTCCCAATGACACAATAATTGTTTCTGTCAGTCATATCATCAATCTTTTGGACAGAACAATGATCTTTCAGTGGCTCCTGTGGAAACTCTACAGTTCTTCTTATACAAGTTCTTTTTAGTTTTTTTTTTTTTTTTTTTTTACTATGGAGTTACCAAATTATACCGAACATCAGTCTTATTATTATACAAGTTCGGTTTAGATTTGGTTTGAGCAATTTCATTTCGGTTAAAGTCAGTTCAGTTCGGTTTGATTTGTATACCCTTTCTTTCAAACAAGTCCTTCAATCTTTTTGTATGGATGAGATTGGAAGATGTCTGTCTTAGCGATTTCTTCTCCTTCAACTACTCTCATCAGACCAGTAAAACGAAACGGGCTAAACCGGTCCCCGGTTCGAAAAATCATCTGCCTGAGCCAGAGGCGGCAGAGCAAAATCAGTACCGGAAAATCTTGGATCATCCCCGTAAGTCTCTCGCTTTTTGGTTCAGGCTTCGTCTTGGGTCCTCTTCTCGATGGTGTCCATTCACGTGTCGAACTTGTGGTTTACCAAAACGGAGCTTTTCAACTCGGTCCTCTTCATACAAACGTCTGGGTAAGGTCAAAACCCGACAACATGAAAATTCTTGAATGTTTTGTTGATCATGTAATGTTTTTTTTTTTCAGGTACCGTTCTTGCTTGGCTTGTTTTACTGTACAGTAGGTTTACTACAACTCCTATTGGATGAGACAACCTCTCTTCAGCCTCCACGTGGCAACCTGGACAAAACCATAATTTCATTCTTGTAAGTATGCAGTATTCTTGTTGTTGTTAGGTTGTGTAAAACAATTTTGAGGACAGTGGAAGTGACACTCTATATGGTTTTGGTGAACGAAACAGAGCACTGGTGTTGTTCTTAGAGATAAGTGCTGAAATGTACAAAGCTGGAGTTTCAGACAACATAGAAGCTTACGTTCTATTTGCCTTAGCAGAATTTATTTGGTTCTCTTTGGATAGAACTTGGCTTGGCTTCACCATTGCCACTCTCCTTGGTATCGCCTGTCCCTTGGCGGAAATCCCCATCATGCAGTAAGTAAACCGCGCAATTCAATCCTTTAACAACTATCACTCTGTTTTTTACAGAATTAAGCATAAAGGATTAACATAACTTGTATAAACAGATTCTTCCATCTGTGGTACTATCCAGAAGCAAACATAGAGATTTTTGGCCAGGTAAGAAAAGTTTATACAGATATCTTTAAACAAAAAAAACATACATGAATACTCTGTTCTTTTTTGTTTTGTTGTCTGGTGAAGGGATTGGTTACTTGGACGACAACTTGCTACTTTGTCTACACACCGTTCTTGATCAACCTGGCAAGATGGCTCAGGACAGTTATGAAGACAACGACTACTGATGTGGACATTAACTAAAGCAAGGAGCAATTGTGTTTTTACATATATATATAGTGGACATCTTCATGCTTTCTAGCTTGTAAAGGTTACATTAGATATGTCCTTGAATTTTTCTTTAATCGCAGCTCGTATTCCCATTCCTATTGATTCCGGTCCAACATACTTTACAACACAGTCCTCGCCTTCAACTGATAAAACTTCAACACTTCCACCATAGTTCTTGATCGCTGGCCTCAGTATATCGAGATGAGCATTCACTGCCTGCAACCCAAAACCCAGTCAAAGGCAAACACAAAAGAATATATCAACGACAAATTTCTTAAAAGGAGCCTCAGTCACCTCTACGGTTATCTGCTTTACTTCTTCATCAAAAACTTGCCGAATATCTTTCAAAGCATCTCCAAACTTCTCCTTGAGTACTCTCTCTATTCCCATTGTCATGGTTGTTGAAGAACTTGGACAGCTAGTACATGCTCCTAAACATGACACAATTCCACAGAATCAATATCAGCTCAATTACAATACATGTGAACACGATTGAACAATACAAGGACATTACAACCTAGAAATTTCGACCTAAAATATGAAAAAACACCAACTTTTGTCATAATTGATTATCACTACTGTTACTATATTCACATGGCAGCTGTTCTAATTTCATTTCTTATGGCTCAGTCATGTTGGAAAGAGATGAAATTAGAACCTACATGAGTGTCCTTCTTTGCTGATTACCTTTCTCTACGAAAGATTCACTGATCTTACCTAATTGGTAACTCTCCCACAATGTGAACTTTTTGAGCTAGATTTCATTTCAATCATGGAGGAGCAATAAACCAAAATATTGCTAAAAATTCCCAACAGCTCAAACTCCAAAATCAGTCAAAACCTAACTCCAAATTCTGGAATTTTCGTAAATGAAATCCAAAATTAAAAAAATTAACCTTGGAGTTTGAGAGAAACTACACCATCCTCAACGGACACAACGTCGACGTTACCACCATCGGAGATCAAGAACGGCCTAACATCCTCGAGCACCAAATCAACATTTTGAGGCGTCAAATCAAAAGTCTCAGCTGAATACAAACCCGGCGATACACCAGATGCTAAAGGCGATATCTTTTCTCCTTGGCTCGAACCACTTATCGCAAATCGACGCAGAAACGCCGTTCTAGAGATGCATCCGTCTCTATTATTAGCAAAGAAGACGACTCTCGTGTTTTGATCGGAGATTACTGGAAACCCAACTCTCGTTGAAGACGATGAAACCAGAACTTTGAAGCTTCCGCTTAAGGTAGTCGCCAGAGAAGCCATTGTCCTTCAGATTTTTTTGATAAATTTGATCCTCTCTGTAAACAAAACCAAAAAAAAAAACAGCAAGACGATGGAGAAGAATCGCGAAATTGCATACTGGCCCTTAAATTTAAGGAGATCTTTAGTTAAAGGACAAGATCAAAAAATGAATATTGTGGACCTAATAAATGGGCCGATCGACATTAAATCACGACCTAGTCCATTAAAAAAAAGAGAATAAGGAAGAGTGGAAGACACGTGTCGGTAAGTGTATGAGTTTGACTTTTCTGTACGGTGGACAAGTCAAGTCCCATAAATAAGACTTTGCCTCTTCCAAGTTCCAACACAGAGTGGTTTACAAGATGCGACAGTGATGGCCATATCTCTTATCAAATTCCATATGGGGACTAACACAAATGATTTCTGCTGTACAAATTTTTGTTTCTTTCTTCTTTCAGAGTAAATGACGATATATACTATAATATACATATGGTTAATCAGACCTCTATCTATATATATCTAGATATAAAAAGTGTAATTTGACTTTAAAAGCCTATATAATTTACTAAGTAAAGTTTTATATTGCAAAGTTTCGATTGACTTAGTTTTGATTGAAGGTTATATTAAGTTTTACTTTTTACTTCACATGCATGCTCACATGGTTTTTAGATCCTAGTTATCTAGCTAGCTAGCCCTAGTGGACGTCAAACGAATGAACTTTACGTTTTAGGTGCATAGAAACTATTTGACCAAAACGAATATGCCATATTATAAGAGCAAGATTATCAAGGGAATCTTAAATTTTAATTTTAGCATTAGTTTAATAATAAATTTGAAAAAATAAGGTGTAAAAGTTGTTTTTGTGATTTTAGTTTTGAGAAATCTTTATTGGTAGACTCTTAGTTTGGGGATCTTACAAAAGAAATATTTATTTAAAAATTAAATTAAATTAAATTTGTTATTTTTAGAAAACTTTATAGTTATTGCAAATTTAAACTTTTAAAACATACATAAAATATAATTTCTAACATAAAGTACAATAGTAGTAAGTTTGTAAGAACAAAAAAAATATATAATTGGTGTAAAAATAAATATAAAAACTTGAACTTAAAAGAGAATGACTAAAAATATATAAAAAAATCATTTAGAGAGGGAGAAAGAGAGAAAAAGAGAAAGAGAGAGAAAGGAAGAGAGAGAGAGAGCGAGAGTAAAAGAAAGAGAGGGAGAGAGAGGAAAATGAGATAATTGTTTTTTTTTCTTTTCTAACAACACCCAATAAAAAGCTGCCACGTCGACGTATCTTATTACCATATGTGTATCTTAAGCAAGATACGTATGTTACATAATAATGCTAATTTTGATTTATTTTTTTATCTTAATTCATCTAAGATCTGGGTAAAAATCGCCCGATAATGATGGTCTAAGGTAGTTATTATAGATTAGATTAAGTAAACTGACAAAGAATAATAATGAAACTATAGGGTACATTTATTAACCAACCAGCCATTATATATGAAAGGCCATATATACTTGTATACATGATTTACAATAAGTTTGGTTACATTATTTGGCCTATAGACCGTTAAAACATTTATGATCCATGTGCCAACCAAAAACAATACAAAATTTAATCACAGCTCCCAACTTGTCCGAAATAATACACATATAGATGATTTTCTGAATCATTCGTAAGCTTTTAATTTCTTTAAAGTTTTTGTGGACCATTGTTTAATCATATATATGCACTAGAACCGCAAAAGCAGAATTTGTCTGACAAAGATTTGGGATATGATATAAAATCATAAAGATATGTTTATAAAAAAGGATGATTACATTTACGTAGACATTATTAATATAAACGAATGAAATAATCGATTGCTTTACTTACACCCAAAGAACCCCAAACTCACTCTCCTTAAATCCTAAAACGAACTTTTAAACAAATTTACTTTGTCTTAACTACTCCATTATTACCAGCCAGGATCAAATACTTGTCTTTTCTTGTGAGCTGTGTGCACTCGAAATCCAGCGCCTTCCCAATCTCACTCTGAACATGATTGGCCACCTCAAACTTGGACTTCCCATCAGGATCTTGACACGTGGCGCCGGAGACAGGTTCGAGAAACTCGACGGTGTATGTAGGATAAGGATCCATGAGGAAGAAAAGCGGGTCTAGGGCCTTAAGACCACTTGCTGTTGTACCATAGAAGAAGGTCACGTGTGACGTCACAGCCACGGGAACGATGACGTCACTGACCTCGGTGAACAAAGGGCTAAACCTAAGCATGTAAGGTTCTCTACAAGTGGTTCCTTCAGGACAAACCACGAGATCACCTTCCGTCAACAATTTCTCCATGGCTTGACCGTCGCTAACCCTATCACGGTTCAGTCTAACTGTCTTGATCGGAGCCAAGATCTCGGATACTCTACTCAAGCTATACGTTACGGTTTTAATGTTCTTTTCTTTGAGCGCGAATGCAACGTAGAGAGGGTCCAATAAAGTCCTGTGGTTACACACAAAGAGACAACCTTTACGTTGATCACTTGAGTTTGGCTTTTGAGAAGAAACGTAGTCGTTAGTGACGGTCAGTCTGCAACCGGAAAAGGAGAGGATCGGGATTGAGAAAGAGTAAGGGATGCAAAGAGATACGAAGAGCCTGGCTGCTGCGGCTGCGGCTGCGAACGGTCCCCACATGAACAAGACCAGAGTGTTCATTAGGGTTGGTTTAATAGCGAGCCGACCATCGTGAAAAATCAATGGTTTGGGGTATTGGCTAGGTGGTAGGGTTTGCCAGCTTCGCTTGTCGGATTTTTTCACGAAATAAATTTCCTGTTAAGAGAGAAAAAGACAAGAGATTCAGTTGAGTTCCAAACTTGAAAACAATGAATGAAAACACCTAACAAAAATCAATTACAGGTATTGAAATTCAAATCACTGTCATGACTAATAACTATGCACTCAGTTTATGTCGTTGATCGTCGTTTCGTATTCGTATTAAATGACATAGGCCTTGATTTGTTTGCTTTAATTTCATGTTGTTATTTTTTTTTCTAATAATAATTTCATGTTGTTATAGTTATTTCATTTTCGCAATCTAGAAAGTTTGGGTCTATCACCGTCACTACCACGTACCGTACCTGTTGAATTAATCCAGTGTCGGTTTTTTACTATTTGTAGGCATAGCTAGAATGCTAGATATCATATGAATATGTATCTTTTTGGCATGCGCAGCTTCAAATTTTTTTTTTTTTTTCACAGCTTCAATCTTTAGTTGTTAAAACATAACGTATTTTCAAAAATATGATTTTATCAACTTTGTATAATAATTTTTAAAATTGTAAACGTAAACGCAAATGAAACAAATAATAAAGAGAGACGCTGACCTGGCAGAACTGAGAAAATAGATATCGGTGAAGTGAGGTATTGAAGGATGTGATGCCAATAACACGACCCGTGTTTAGTCTCTCTTTACGAACCAACTCATCGAAGGCAAGACCATGTTTGGTCTTATCCTCCATGATCCCTAAGTAATATCCTCCAACAACCTTCATTTCTCTCCCGACCACAACGTCAATCTCCAAGTACTCTCTCAAGAACCCTTCGATCATAACTTGAGGAAGATCATCACTCACTCCGATTCTCTTCCCTCCCCTTTTCAACACTTCGAACATCTCAAGCCCGACATCTTCTAGAAAGTATTTAGGCAAAACCGCTCTCCCCGCTCTAAAACCTTCTTTTTTGACCCCGAAGAAGCTCACCATTACCATCACTTTGACAGCCATCTCGTGGCTCATCAAGCTTATCAAAGGATAGAGAATGAAGAGGATAAGTGACCTTACTACACCTCCCGCCTCGAATGCTACTAGCATGAAGTAAGGGAAGAGAGAGTCGGATTTGAGAAGAGCTCCTTCTACGTTGAAGATCAACGTGTGGCGTGATAGGTCGGATTGGAGGAGTGGAGAAGGGCCATTTTGGTATTTTGGTTTAGGGTTCCGGTATCGCCGGAGGATGAACCGATAGAATAGAAAGACAAGAGATTGGAATATTGAGATCTTAGCTGACATATTTTGTTTCTTTTTGTTCTTTTGTGTATTTTCTTTGTTTGGTTTCAGACACTGCATGTTTGGAGAGCAGTAGAGGAAGTATTTATATAGCAAGACCATGACAATATTACCCATAAACGTGTTTAAAATTTACAAGAAACTGCCATTGAACGTTAACGTACAGCTTGCATGATTATACACATTAAATGAGATTACCGAGTGAACATGTGAATAGTATATTTGAAAAGTATACGCGTGTATGAGTAGACCAAAGTTTTAGTTGCAAAGAGGTATGAGTCAAAGCTTTTGTTTAGTTTTAAAATTTGGTCTTGAATATAATAACATGAGTCAAAGTTAGTTAGTGTATAATCCGGAGATTACCACACATAATAAGTCTTAAGACTCGTAACTTGAGAATACGTGACTACAAGTGTTGTTCCACTTGTTTGTATTCAAATTACATATATGTACTTTTACAGTTTATAAACAAACAAATTATAAAATATATGCGATGTAGATCCGTTTAATATTGCGTATTATTCTCTAGCTAGGAATGGTTTATTATATTTCTTATTTTTATTTCGAATTGATTACACTGTTATATCTCCAAGTCGGAATGTTTCATTAAATGGTTAGAAAGTCAAAGAAGGTTTTTTTTGGTTGTTTGATATGACAAGAACTTAATTAAATTTTAGTTCTTAGGTAACTAAAACTATTTTGATAGAGAAATCATACGACTTATGTAGTATATAGATGTTGAATCATGCATTAATTATTGTGTTATAGGACAAAGTCGAAACTTCATTTTGCATTAGCATTCACTGATCGGTTGTATTTAAGAAGGAAAATTAAAGAAGGGTCCACTTAAATACAAATTAGATTATCTTGACACCAAAAAAGAAAGAAAAAAACTGTCCTACAAATATTAAGCATATGGGAAAATATCAAATTGATGGCCCAAAAATATTTGGTTAATTAGATGAATGTAGTCCATAAAGGTTAAGAT